TATTAATACTGCTATTACTTAAAATGAGAGGAAAGGAAGGTAATACATTACCAATTACCAATTAGCAATAACTACCAGAAAGTAATTAATTTTAAATAGAAATTTTAAAAAACTTTCAGTCACATTTAGTCCACGACTTCCAGCTTCTCCATGCCCTCCTCACTCCTCTCTTCTCCTTTTAACATCGCTCAGCATAGAGTCATAATCATACAAAGCTACGAACAATAAAAGATGTCCATCTGATATCAGCCAAATACACTCACCAGATTCAAATTAGGACAGCTCCTTATCTCAGCCTCCATTCTTATCTTTCTCCTCTGAGTGTATGCCAAGAGTTCAGCCTATGTAAACCCCTTTAAGTACGCATGTCAGACAAGTTCCATGACTTCTTTCAAATATACATATTTTAATTTGCAGCAATCAAACTCTTTGACATAAATGTGAAGCCGAGAAGTGATGAAATGTGTGTTCCACTGTGATGAAACATGACATCCTCAGATTTTTTTTAATGTGCAGAGTTTCACAAAGATTTCTTTAATGAATTCTGCTCTTAGTGTTGGCAGCAAGTATATCATCAGCCCCAAATCATCAGCTATAGGTTGGTGAACTTTGTGATGGCTCTGCAGGATGAAGTGCTGCTTTATGTGCCTGAGAGTGTCTGACATCCCACTTCATGGTATTTCCAACACTCAAATTTACTTGCAAGTAATAAACTATAAATCACAATAGTGGGGGATGTCTTTGCAGACTCAGTCAGCAAAGTGGGAGAGATGATTTATTTATTTAATCTTTTGCTGTCGTAATGTGAGAAAAGCTCCTGTTTCTGTCAATTCTTCTTACCTAGATGTATGTAGGGTTATAGCAGAGCACTTATCAACAGATCAAAAGGGTCTTAGCTCAATATATGCGACCGATTTAAAAGATGCTTCAAAGAGAGAGTGGCAGTACAACGTCAGCACTTGGTGGCCTTGAAGTAGAAATCTAGTTTCTTTTGTTGACTCATGAAAGTATTTTGTTTGATATTGAGCTTTCGGGAACAGTAACAGCTCATGACGCAACTTGTGTTGGAAATTATGAGTCCTATGCATTTAGTTCTGGTGGTATCCAAGCATGTTGTGTTATGGTCTGAAATGTGAAATAAAGCAGTAACCCATGCCCAACAAGATGAAGACACCAGGCTGCACCTAAATGTTGCAGACTGAGCTAAAACAATAACTCTGAGGATAACATCCAATCTTGTCATTTAAAATGGGAGAGGTTGATGTTCATTATAACCCTTGAGGCATCGTTAACATTTAGTTACAACTTTAAACCTTAGGTCAAAAGTGGTCCCATTCATAAAGGTGTGATATTAGTGTTAAATTTCAATATTATTTCAACTACTTCAGACCTAAGCACAGATATAAGGGTTTTTTATTATTATTTATCTAGATTTTAAATTTTTTATGTCCTTTTTGTCATGACAGCCCCGGACTTCTCTTCCAAAATGTGGTGCCAACGTGTTATAGGAACCCTCTGGTAAGAACCCCATTTTTTGAAAAATTGTGTCTAAATGTATGTACTTGTTCAAACTTATCTATATTTATTTTTGTGAACTTTGGATCATCACACAAGACAAACAGGAATCAGGAAAATTGTCATTCACATTATGGGCTATAAGTTGGAGAGAGGATATGATTAAACAAGTTTTACTTCTTCATGCTCCTTTTCAGATTTTTTTTCACCAATTAAGATCACGTCTGTGTGTATAGACTTACAGATATGTACAATTGAATATTTTGTTTAAATTATTTACATTTCTAAATTGATATGTGATATGGCGTTGAGTTTAAACCAATGAATATGGTTGTGTTGATTGCGATTTTTCAGTTTTAAAGTTATTGTTCACAGGTCACTTTTTGATCTCTTTGGTGGAAATCTTTCTGAAATAAATTCTGGAATTCTGAAAAACATTAAAAAAAGCAAAACAAAAGCAATTTCAAACATGAGGTGTAATTTCAGGTATGAAGTTATTAAAGCCTTGATTATGTCAATAATTAATTACATTGCATTTGATGCATTTTTGATGCAATATTTATTTTTTTTAAACTCACGCTGTTAAGCAATAGTTTTAAAAATGGTCCCTCATAAAATTGTTCTAAAAATCTAAATTTTAAACAAAATACTTTTTTTTTCACTTTCAATATATCAAATCTTTTCAAAACTTCATACCTAACCTTAGATATAAAGTTTTATATTCTGGTTGGCAATTTCACCTCATTTTACATTACCTTGAGCATCTTTAATCTGCTCCAACTCAAAACCTACAGTACTTAGACACTTCAAACCTGGACTTGATTATTCTACACTAATAGCAGAATCCTATAAACACAATTTGGGATTTGTGAAAGCTTTATTTGATTTGTGAAATGTAATAAAGGGCCATATCAGTGCTTTTTTTTTCCATTTGGACCATCTTAGAACTGGTCCTGCTCCAAAACTTGCTCCAAAACCTGCCCTTTAACTGTTTCCCGAATCAGAAGCTACAACTGGAAGCCAACTTCAGCTTTGTCGCATCCTTCTGGGTCAAAAGAAGAGCCTCTGCAGAAGCGAACTGGTGAGTCACGTGATCAAATGAGCGCAATTTGATTGGCTAAAAGCCGCTCGATTCTTCTTCTTCTTGAATTTTGTTTGGCAGGTGTCATTCAATGTTAAGATCCATTATCAGCCGCTTGACTCGATCTAGTGCTGATTGCTTTGGCATGAGTCACCACAAGGTCAACACATTTGCAGGTGAATTTTGCAGGCGAATTTCTGCAGGTGAATTTTTGCATTTGAATTTTTTCAAACGAATTCTTGCAGGGGAAATTTTTGCTGGCAAATTTTAAGTACAAAAAAAAAAATCACATGCATAATTCCACAGGATAAAAATTCTGCGTAATAAATTCAATCTCTAAAAAAATGTCTGATTCTAATGAGACTATTTTACTTCCATAGATACACTACCAAATTAATGAATCCTGGAGTTACGATCACTCCCATGGCTGCAGGTGTATAGTTTTGTGTGGAGAAATATGACTGGCCTGCACAGAGTCCTGACCTCAATCTTCTTGAAAACCTTATAAAATCATAAAAGATAAATTAGAGCGGAGGCTGCAATTCGGGTTTTCTCACCCAACAATGAACACTCCAAGCCTTACAGAATAGTTAAAGTTGCTATTGCTGGCAACTGTGGGTCCATCAACAAATTTTACCTTATAGAATAAGAATAGGATATCATCAAAGTTCATGTATATGTAAAAGTAGACCTTTGGCAATATAATGGATGAAGATTTTTTCTCTTAAAAAAACATGTTTTATACAGCTCCACTGCAAAGGCACAACAGTTTTTATGCTTGGTGCTGAACGCAGCAGGGATCCAGCATTTCAAATCCTCAGCCCCTTTACTGTTCATGAGTAAGCTATAACTGACAGCAGATAGATGGATTGAGAAGATTGACGCGGCTAAACTCGCCTAATCCTACGCATTCTGGCTGGGAAACCAAACTAATTCAGTTAATTTCACACAGCACTGTCCATGTAAACATCAAAGCGCTTAAAAAGGAGGACGGAGTGACAAATTTGTCAGTTGGCTTCTTCTTATAATTTCTCCAAAATGCTTCTGCTCAGGCCATTAAAGAGATTGCTGCATTACAGAGTTTTAGTGTGACAAGTGGCTATTGATTTGCACTAAGCCTGAGAAAGCTGAGCCCTAACCTATTGGGACAAAGTGCATCTTTTAAGAAGATGAGTCTGATCTTTTGGACATGTGTAGTCTGACTTTAAATGCTAACGCTAAAAGAAAGAAATTGGGACTAACTGGAACAGATGCAAGATTGTTGCTCATAAACAAATGAATCCAAACTTAACATCAGGTTTTTGCAGTGAGATGTCGGTTTTTACCATAAAGTACCAGCATGAGAGATTTGTCTGCAAAGAGCAGATCTGGGAAATGACACAGAAGGACTTAATTGTCTGCTTATTTAAAATTTTAAGCTTTGTAAAGATCAGAAGCACTACTTTAAAGATTATCTCAGGGATAAATAAAATTAAGACTGCGAAAATTTTTGTACAATTATGAGCAGCGAAGAAACTTTTCATACAGAAATTATACACAGGCGCAACTCAATAATTTGGAATAAATTAGATTGTAACAATTTCACTTAAAATTAATATTATATTAAATTGGAGATGAGTTGTTAAGGAAGCTCAGGTTACTTTAATAGCAGCATTCAGGTGATCTCTATTGTTAGCACTGGTGTTTCTCATCTTCCTCTTTACAACACTCCATAGTTTTTCTATGGGATTCAGGTCAGTTTGCTGCCCAATCAAGCACAGAGATACGATGGTCATTAAACCAAATATGAAAATCAGATCTGACAGACTTGCACTGACTTTAGACCTAATAAAACCAAGTGGACCATCAGCTATCCAAATCATCACTGAAAGTGGGAATTTTACACTGAACCTCAAACAGCTTGGATTCTGGGCGCCTCCACTCTTCCTAAAATCTCTGGAACCTTGATTTCCCAATAAAATGTTGATTTTACTTTCATCTGAAAACAGGACTCATAGACAACTGAGCAGCAACCCATTCTTTTTCCTCATCATTAGGGACCCAAATATTAAACTGAGTAGTGGGTGGAGCCAGAGACTTGTGACCTTAACGGCCTCATTCGTGTACTTAATGGCCCTGTTGGTGAGATTGTTCTGACCACAATTTACAAGCCTGATCCTACCAACCCATGTTAAAAATTAAAGTAGCCTTTTGGATGACAGAAAAAATGTCTTAAAGAAACAGGAGAAGTTTAGTGTCCTTCAGTTGAAGCATTGAGAAACCAGTTGTTACTGAGATGCTACACAATGTCCGCTCTTGTAAAGTGGTTAATCTGAATTTCAGTGTTAAAGATGCGACCTTTCGTTCAAGACATTTGAACTGAAACGCTCCATCATCTAGAGCTCTAGTACATCATCATGAAAACAGAGGGCACCCAAATTTAAACTGGTGTCCTCCTGATCTGCAGTAAACTGCTCTACCACTGAGCTATACTCTTCCTCTTCTAACTGAACAGGTCCTAAACCCAGCTATTTGGATCTATGCTCTCAATTTATTAATTTACTACACATAAAAAAGAGGATCTTTATTGTTTAAAATTCAGAAGTGCTTGAAAAGTGAACTGTGCTTCAACAAGAGCAACAGGAGACCTTTGACTTTCACATTCCTGCCAACACAATTTTTATAATTTATGGTCAACATTTTGATGTGCAGAGTCTAAAGGCTCTGTATGGTTTTCACCTTTCCTTTTATCTTTCTAACATCTTTCTAACAATCTCATTTCACAAAAGATTAAATTTTGACAATATGTTTTGTGTTTTAGATCCTGTTGTGTTAAAATTAGGTGTAAAGTAATGCTGAATCCCTTTAACTGTTACATTATTTGGTTGCAGTCAAAGTTAAATGATGTCTCCACTTTTCCTCTCCACAGTCAGGTTAGGTGTTCTTTTCTGAAGGCTATTGGTGTTTCAGTTGTTTGCTGATTATTTGGAAAGATAACAAAGATTAAAAATGTTAGAGTAAAAAAACAAGATCTCAAGCTCCACTTGAGTTATAAACCAGAGTATGGGTCAGTCTTTTAAAGAGCCTTTAAACTTCCTGAGCTCTGAACTGTTTTTATATGAGAAGGTACACTGTTCTAAAAAGGAGCAGTAGCTGCAAAGGTGAGAGACTCTGTAACCATAAAAATGTAATTATTCATTTTAATGAAAAACACAGAAATCAACCATTAAATCCGCAAGACCTAAAAGATACTATCAATTCAAATTCAACCAATAAATTGTATGAGCACACTCACCGGCCACTTTATTAGGCACACCTGTACAATTGCTTGTAAACACAAACAGTGAGTCAGCCAATCATGAGGCAGCAGCTTAGTGCATTTAGACAAGCAGATGCGGTGAAAACGACAGCCTCAAATTTAACCAAGGCATCAGAATGGGCAAAAAAAGGGGGTTTAAATGACTTTGACCATGTCAGGGTTGTTGGTGCCAGACGGGTTGGTCTGAGTACTTTAGAAAATTCAAATTTCGATTCGTGAGGTTTACAGAGAATGATCCAAAAAAATATCGATTTAGCGTCGGTTGTGCGGTCAAAAACGCCTTGTTGATGCCGGAGAATAATGAGGCAGACAGGTAGAAAGATAGAAAGGTAGCAGTAGCTCAAAACACCCAGTCAAAATATGCAGAAAACTACCTCTGTATCCACAACATGCTTACCCTGAAGCAGATGAGCTACAGCAGCAGAAGGCCACACTGGGTGCCACTCCTGTCAGCTTAGAAAAACTGAGGCTATACGATTCACACAGTTCGTCAATACTGGACAATAAGAGACTAGAAAAACATTGCAGAGATTCTGATAAGTCTCACTTTGAGCTGTGACATTTAGATGGTAGGGTCAGAATCTGGGACCATAGATCTGTCCTGCCTTGTATCAATGGTTCAGGCCGCTTGGTGTGGGGGACATTTTCTTGCTACGTGTGAGCCCCCATTAGTAATAGCTATCATCTAAACAACACAATGAGTAAATAAATAGGGGACTGCTTGTTAAATTAATGTAGAGGCTAAAGAACGCACCTCATGAGACAATGCACTCCTTAAATAGGACTGTGCATGAATAAATAAACTAATCATCTCACACAGAATGTTTTTACCAATCTGTTTTCACAGTCTTTAATCCCCTGAAACCTGTAGTAATACTGATCATTAAATGTTTGCTGTTACTTGGTTTATATATTATCTTTGTTACTTTAATTATATGAAAAAAATTTATGTTTTATGAGAATTCAATGCGTGATTAAAGTATTCCCATGCTGCATGTGTGGAAATGATTAAATCCTTTATTTCAGAAGTAACTGGAACTAGGCAGTCCTTGATGGTGTTTGTGTGCAGCACGGAGCCATTTATTAATGAATGAAGACTGCATGCACATGTTCATTATCATACTCAAACATGTGGCTTGGGCATGCAGAGGCTCATGAGTGAGCAAACATTTGGGCTGTTAAATATTTGTAGTGCAGAGGAAAGTTGCTTTCATTACTCAGGCAATCTGTTTGGGTCATATTAGCGATAAAGCTTGCAGCTAGCTGGATCACATATGATCATTATGAGGCACACTTTCTGCCACATTTTCTCATAAAAAGGTCTCATTTAAGCTTTAGATTCTCATCTGCAATTAGCACGAAGGAGACAAGAAATGTGAGGTGAACGGACATGCGTGCATCTCCCTGCGTGCACAGCATGTGTCTGAGATAATACACAGAAATACACACATACGCGCATGTGGAAGCAATCTCCTCAGGCTGTCTCTCACCTGCAACCTCAGACTCATTAGAGTAGAATGGAGGGAGGAGGGTGAAGGAGCTGAAGGATGAAGAGGTAAAACGAATGGAACCTTCTGCATGAATGAAGCACATCTAATCTGTCAAATTAGCAGGAACTGCAATTCGTGTCCTGTTAACATGTTGAAGCTAACGTTGCTAGCGAACTTCACTTTATTGTTGTTCTGTAAATATATGTTTATTTGCATATCGGTGCGTGTCTGTACATGAGTCAGACTGAGTGACTCAGAATTAGATGTTTCTTGTTGTTTCCTCAGGCATATATGGAGAGTGTGTCTGTGTGTGTATGCGAGTGTGTGTGTGTTTGCAGAACACCTTTGCTGTTAGTGACAGGTTTAAAGGGCTGAGGGAATGTGTGTGTGCGAATGTGTGTCTGAATACACTCAGATTACTGTACATTTGTGTCTTTCTTATCCACTTATTCACATTCTCCATGGAAGTGGCCAGTCTTTCATCACAGCGCGTGTTCACTTGTTTGACGGATCCATTCCTGAGGCAACTGCCGCTGCTAAATATCACACACCTGGATGAGCAACGCCCGTCTCTCATCCTGCATCTCCCGGGACCCCATTACCTCGCTAATAATAACCAACAAATCATACAACACTTTCCCCTTGATGAAACTTCACCACAGTGGCTGGATTGTGGATGACATCATTTACCGCAGCAGACTTTTAACGCTCCAGGAGCAGAAAAGACATGCAGAAGGAAGCCAGGTGAAGGATTAAACCACTTCTTTAAATCACACTACAAATATGTTACAAATGACAAATGAAACTGGACATAAGATAACATTTGTTGGGTTTCTCTTGGGTGTATATGTATGAAAGGAAGGGAAATAATTCCGTGTGCAATTTAATCTTGATACAACTCAGAGGTTAATGAAAGCACAGTATTGGTGTGGAAAAGAAAGGATCAAACACATTTCAGTACTAAATAAAGCTAACCTGACTAAATATAAAAAACTAATGTCAAAAGATGATTTAATTTATTTCAGGAAAAAATAAACAACTATCCAAACCAAAAGTGATCATCCCTGCAAAATCAAGAAATTGAACATAAATGGAACCTGTCTAACATGAAGTAGGCTAAAAAAATCTCCAAAAGCAACATACAATATGATGCCATGGTGTAAATAAATTCAAGAACCGATAAAAAACAAAGTCTATCAGTTGGGAGAAGGTTACTGAGCCCTTTGTAGGGCTTTGGGACTCCAGCAAAACCACAGCAAAAGCAATTATCTACAAATGGAGAAAACATGCAACTGTGGTAAATCTTTTTAGGAGATCAACACCTAACAAAAATAGGAGTGCATCAACATCTAAAGCACTGAATTTGCTGATTCATCTGGGGAATTTACATTGGTGGCAGACTCTTAATCAGCTGAATGGACAAATCAGGTGATGGTGCAGATTGATACAGTGAATGTTACACTGGCTTTCACCACTCCAAGGACGTGTGTTTATTTTTAAAACAAGCCAAACCAACCCTTTAAGGCCAGAGTGCCAGGAGCACTCTGAGAAAAGCATTTCCAAGCTTTCCAATGCTATGATTGAATGCTATCCGCTTGAAAAACGAAGACAGAAGATTAAAATATCTGGTTGGAAAAAAAAACTCTGTGGCTGTTCGGTTTTCATGACGAAGCTGAAGGCAGGCAGCTGTTTCTGAAACAGGAAGGTGACTGTAGTATTATCAAAGTATCAGTATTAAGTATTTATACTAAAGAATATCACAAAGCCCACAAATTCACGGAGGGTTTGAACTTTTAAAGCTTACTTTGCTTACATTAGGGCATTGATGGCTGACAATGGATTTAAGCTAACCAATGATAACTTAGATGTCATTCTTTTTGTTCTGGTGAATTATTTTAGTCTCATGTTGTTCGGTCCATCTAATAATAGTTTCTCAGAGAGAAATATTTATTCAAAAATGTTATTTCAAACCCCAAGTTTAAGGTGTTTTCCATTACTTTTTCAGTTCAAGACTGTTTTAGAAATAAGGACCATTCTTTCAGCTACTTACTTGTGTTGGCAATGGTTCTCTTGTTCATTTTATAGTGATTTTACTCTAAACTTTTTGTGTTACCCTTTAAAATATGTGCTTGACCCTAAATATATCAGAGACTTTTTTTAATTTGAATGTCAACTCCTAACCACTGGGATCCATAAGCAGTGTGTTGCGATTGTTCCTAGGCCACAGTTCATGATGAAGGTTGTTGAACTCAAGCCCATCATTTTAGTCTGTCTTCATAAGAGCAATATAGTTTTTATCATTGTAAATAAAATGCAACTAAATTATTAATGAATATAGAGCATGTTAAATTCTATGTAAAATGTATCAGGTGACACAACTGAACAATTCTGAACATGTCAAAATCCTACCATCTTTGTCCATGTTCAGACAGCCATTTTCAGCAGGGACACACCATGTCAGCATTCTGGAGGTGCATACAATAATATGCTTGTGTGCAAAAGAATACAATGACAGCGGTCTTCACATGGCTGCATCCTTGGCAGATGGTTTAATTTTTTTGTTATAAATTCTGGTATGAGGATAAATTAGACTGAGCTGAAATGCATAGGTCCCACTGTTGTTGCTCTCCTCAGCTGTGAGTCAGTGAAGGACTTTGGGAGCCCAAATATGCAGCTGGATTTGCATTGAGTG